CAGTGGTGGCAGTAGTAGCTGGTAGTTGTGATGGTAGGTGATAGTATCGGTGGTGTCAGGTTGGGCAGTAATGGTAGTTCCGGGTGTTTACAAAGTCCATTGATGTTTGTGTTTAAAGGCGAGTTACGGATCCCAAATTGGTCTATGTTTTCCACCCTCAGTCTTGATGTTTCAGTGATCTTGACCTCTGACCTTGTGACCCCCTAAACAAACCCTAAAATTTAATGCATTCTTACATCGCAAGTCCGATGATGAATCTAGTTGTATCCCAGTAGCTGCAATGACACCTTTCTTCTAACCTTAACAAGTCCAAAAAAGTCTACAGTTAACCCCTTAAGTCCAATAACACCTCCAGTCCCCTCCTGAATCCAACTAAGACCACATTTTTAAACCTAGCAAGTCCAACAAAAAGTAATGTATTCTTAGCTCACAAAGTCCTACAATGAGTTTCGTGTTAACTCATCAAGTCCAATGATACCTCCAGTCCGCCCCATTAATCTAATTAAAAAAAATACATATATCTAAACCTTCCTAAGTACAAACGTTAATGTATTCTCACTTCGAAAAGTCCAACAATGAGTCTAGTGTTACCCCCAGCAAGTCCAATGACACCTCCAGCCCATCCATCACCCCTGGCCGGGACTTTTACCGCATTAATCGTCCAACTTTTGCGGCCAGAAATCTTGGGCTGAAAATCTCATGATGAAGCGACAATGTGTTGGAAAGTTTGTGTGTGTGTGTGTGTGTGTGTGTGTGTGTGTGTGTGTGTGTGTGTGTGTGAAAGAGAGATATGGTGAATGGAAGTGAAAAGGTAGGTGGAACAATTGACTAAGAAAAATGATGATAGATAGATTGATTGGAAGAGATAGTTGTGGTACCTGTCGCAGTGGTTGTTGTGGTTGTTATGATGATGGTGATAAGAGCGTGATAGTGGTGATAGTGGATGATGATGATGATGGTAGGGTGTGTGTCGGTTCGTGGGGGATTGGAGTGGGACGTGGGTGGGCGTGGGGGGGGAGGGGAGGGGGCATGGAGGGGGAGGGTGACAGTGGTAGTGGCCGGAGATTACACATTAAGGGTCGACTTGCCCTGGAGGCCCGTGTAGTTCACTCCACCACCTGTCTGTCACTACCTGTCTGTTACCACCTGTTTGTCACCACCTGCCTGTCACCATCTGTTTTTCACCACCTGTCTATCACCACCTACCATCATCCCTGTTTACCACCATCACCACCTACAACCACCACTACCTACAATCAACACCACTACCGCCACCACCATCATCTTCGCGAGATTCCAACCCTCATCACACTTAACCATAAACAGTATGTAAGTTGTATAATGCTGGTGTGCACGCAAACCTCTCCTGGCAAATGGCTCCTGTAAATACTCATAATGAGAGAGAGAGAGAGAGAGAGAGAGAGAGAGAGAGAGAGAGAGAGAGAGAGAGAGAGAGAGAGAGAGAGAGAGAGAGAGAGAGAAAGAGAGAGAGAGAGAGAGAGAGAGAGAGAGAGAGAGAGAGAGAGAGAGAGAGAGAGAGAGAGAGAGAGAGAGAGAGAGAGAGAGAGAAATCCAGCACACACTCAGTTCTTCTCCTGTTGATGCCTCAAAGCAAAAATTCTGATCTCAAAATCCAATCTTCTTTCTTGTTCTGCAAATTAATTTCCTTTCTCTTGTTTAAGTTGATTTATCTTGTTTGTGTACGACGAACCTTGAGTCTGTGGTACTTGTTAGTGTACCAGTATTGATGGATGTTACTCCTAACACACACACACACACACAGACACAAAATTGCTTCAATTTATGAAAAATTATAGAAATTATCACTATATATATGCATTATTATTATTATTATTATTATTATTACCAGTAGTAGTAGTAGTACAGTTGTAATGATAGGAGTAATTGTAGTAGTAATATCACGTCTCATTGAAAGTAGCTATATCAATATAGAGAGCATCATCATCAGAAGCAGGAGTACAGGTTTTAGTAATAGTAATAGCAGCAGCAGCCCAGAAGTTATGTTACAGCCTGGATGAGATGTCGACTGTCCTCTCTCCTTAGGTCTGGTTTGCTCTGCCTCAGGGGAACGAGAGCATCGGCCCCAAAGCCGACAACAGATGCAGATATTGACTATGAGGCAACAGTCACTGAATGCCGCATAGATCTGCGACTCAACTAACTCAACACAGCTGGGATAGCTACTTATGTATTAGGGTGTTTAATTTTAAGGTGATAAAATGGTGGCGAAGGTGTGGCTATTGGGGGAGGCTGAAGGCCACATAAAAAAAAAAAGAAAAAAAGAAAAAAGTAATAGTAGTAGTTGTAGTAGTCTTCTGATAGTAGTAACACACGCAGTAACAGCAGCAGCAAAACTACAAACATTATTGACAGCACCAGCAGTAACAGTAACAGTACCAAAAGTCAACACAGGAAGTATTTGTCTCTTGGCGTTCCTCTTACAATAATCCACTTCATGCACGAACGCGCCTCTGGGTCGACCCGGATACGTAAACAAGACGTCCTCCAGGTGGGGTTCACACGAGTCGAGGCCCGCCCCTGAGACGCTCAAGCACCCCTGGCGAGCACTCTTGGCAGCCTCTCCTGATAATGAAGACACCGAGGCTTCACACAACACCAGTCTGTCTGTCTGTCTCCTCTTTCTCTTTGACTGTCTGTCTCCACTGTCTATCTCTGTCTGTACCTTTTCTTCTACCTGTCTGTTTCTTTCCTTCTATCCATCTACCTATCAACACCTCACGATGCTGCACAATACATTTATCACCCTGGGTCCTTACTCAGAGGCTCGCACCGTGAATATTCCTCACAACTGAAGAAGTAAGACTACACCAAATTGGCTGACTCAAGCTGAACTACAAATAAAATATTCCCAAAAATCAGCATACAGTTGATAGTGAATCTTTAATAAAACTGGATACGTTCACTCAGCACCAGTTACGGGGCACAGTCAGTGAGGAGAGCTAACCTGACTGATATTCAAACTGGTGCCAAGTGAACGTATCTAGTTATGATGAAGTCTGAGTATAATTTTAATGCTATTTTTTAATGTTATTTTTGCACTGTAGGTCAACTCAATTAGTTAGAAGTATCTACATATTTTTACTTACGAGAAAGATTCATTGTACGACCCTCTGACAACCAGGGTCTTGAATCTTGGCAAAAATCGGATGAATGTGATATTAAACAACACAAACAGTGGGGAGGACATGACAGGACACATGACACGACAAACAGTGAGAGGACATAATGACACAAACAATGGGAGGACATGACGACACAGACAGGGGAGGACATGAACACAAACAGGGGAGGATATGACGACACAAACAGTGGGAGGATACGATACAAAACAGGGGAGGACATGACGACACAAACACATGGAAATATTAGCTTTCCTATATCATCCTTTACTAGCCATTACACACAAACAAATAAACACTGCCATCTTTAGTTGTATGTTTCATAATAAATTTTACCATTTAAATATTACAGCCTCATTTCAATATTTATTTGAAATTTCAAAACAACATCACTAACATAATCTTCCGCATAGTACTTTTAATTCATTATTCAACTGAACCTAAAAACTTCCATGTAGCAACTCTGTGATGACTAACTTATTATTTATGATGTCATCTTTGTTGTGGTGAAAACTGGACAGGGAAATGGTAGTAAAATACATGAAAATTAAAAAAATACTCAAGGAAGAAACCGTCAACACAAGTTCAATATTGTGAGGACCTGATTCAACTCTCCTGGTTTTGGCTTCGTAATAAGAACATGATTACAGTTGACGTATAAATAAAGAAACTCACTTCTGGTAGTAATTATGTAAGAATAATAATAAATATGTTAAGATATATGAAGACTGCAGAGTAATTTTAGTCGTATATTCTGAATCAATACTTTAGAATTAGGTTGTGTGTCGTGGGCTGTACTCTCTTACCGATGTGCCGTGAACACTCGTAATATTTTACCCAATTTTACTATGGTGTTTTGTCATAATTGTTATTTATGAAGAAAAACGTCATACAGTACCAGATAGGGCTTGGCGGGGGTAGGGATAGGGGAGGGGAGGGGCAGTGATTGAGTGGGGGAGGGGGGTGGAGAGAGGGTGGGGGTGGTAAAGGGGGTTGGAAGGTGGGGGATATACTCGATCACCAATACTCCAAAATTTCGTAGGACTTCACCATATAGTTCATCGGTGGACATTACTACTTTGCTATCACTAGGAAATGAATATGACGATCATCCAGCTATGATAAAATGATATGAGTTATTAAGAATGTCACCTTCGTTGGTGAGGTCTGAGGTGACTAGAGGGGCCGATAAGGGACCGGCAGGGTCGTCCACAAATGTTAAACGTGTTGAGGGCTACAACTAGTGCGGGAGGGAAGGTGGTAGCGTCTTTCCGGCGTTGGCGCTTCTCTGCCTCGGTATGCAGTCTGGCTAACTCGAAAGTATTGACATCTTCTCGTGTGGTGCTCCTCCAGGTGAGGGGGTCAATTTGGCACTTTTTCATGTTTGTCTTAAGACTATCCTTATACCTTTTTAGCTGCCCGCCAGCGTTACGTTTACTATTCGATAGGTGACTGTAAAGTAAGCTGCTTTGGAAGTCTACTGTCGTCCATGCGGGTACCGTGGCCAGTCCAACCTAGTTGTTCATGGATAATGGTAGCCTCGATGCTTCTACAGTTGGTGTCTTCCCAGCGAACTCGGAGGATGGAACGTAGACTACGTTGGTGAAAGTTTTCAAGTGCCTTGAGGTGCCTCCTGTATGTGACCCACGTCTCGCTGCCATATAGCAGGATGGAGAGGACCACTGTTCGATATACATGCAGCTTTGTAGATAATTTCAGCTCCCTACAGCTGAAGACTACTACTACTACCAGGACTACTACTCCTACTACTGTTACCAGGATTACTGCTACTCCTACTACTGTTACCAGGATTACTACTACTCTTATTACTGTTACAAGGACTACAGATACTCCTACTACTGGTACCAGGACTACTAACACTCCTACTACTGCTAACAGGACTAGTGATACTTCTACTACTGCTACCAGAACTACTCCTACTCCTACTACTGCTAATAGGACTAGTGCTACTCCTACACCTGCTACCAGGACGATTGCTACTCCTACCAGGACTACTACTATTGGTACCAGGACTATTGCTACTCCTACTACTGCTACCAGGACTTCTTCTACTCCTACTACTGCTACCAGAACTATTGATTTTCCTACTACTGTTGCTACCAGGACTATTTCTACTCATACCATGACTATTGCTACTCCTATTACTGCTATCAGGACTATTGCTACTCCTATTACTGCTATCAGGACTATTGCTACTCAACTACTTCTCCTTCTGTCCCTCGTCCTCCAGCCTCTGTCACCCACGCCCAGTTTTCACGCCCGGCTTGACTGTCGCACCAACACTCAAAGTCACATCCTCAATTTGGGTGCGAGATGTTGGGGGTACAAGTATGTGTCAACAACCTGCTGAGGTGTGAGGTAAGGAGGGGTCGGGGAGGGAGAGAAATGTTGACGTTACAAGTGTCAAGAAGCTAGTGCGGTGTGAGGGAGGGAGGGAGGGAGGGTGTAAGGGAATGAAGGAAAGAGGATGTGAGGGAAGGGAGGAGAGAAGGATGTGAGGAAGGAGGGGTGTAAGGAAATGAAGGAAAGAGGATGTGAGGGAAGGAAGGAGAGAAGGATGTGAGGAAGGAAGGAGAGAAGGATGTGAAGGAGGGGTGTAAGGAAATGAAGGAAAGAGGATGTGGGAGAAGGAAGGAGAGAAGAAGGGATGGGAGGGAGGAAGAGAGAAGGATGAGAGAAGGAAGGGCAGAGGGAATGAAGGAGAGAGGATGTGGGAGAGGGAAGGAGAGAAGAAGGATGTGGGAAGAAGAGGAAGAAGGATGTGAGGAAGGAGGGGGTAAAGAAATGAAGGAAAGAGGATGAGGGAAGGATGAGAGAAGAAGGATGGGTGGAGAAGAAGAGGAAGATGGAGGAAGGAGGGGTGTGAGGGAATGAAGGAGAGGATGTGGGAGAAGGAAGGAGAGAAGAAGGATGTGAGGGAGGAAGGAGAGAAGGGTGTGAGGGAGGAAGGAAAAAGAGGGAGGGAGAAAGGGAGGGAGATGTTGACGTTACAAGTGTCAAGAAGCTAGTGAGGTGTGAGGGAGGGAATGTGGGAAGGAGGGAGAGAAGGAGGGTGTGAGGGAGGGTGGGGGAGATGGCTCTTGGTGTTTTATGTATGTCTAGTTACTCATTATGTATCTCTCTAAGGTTTTCATTATATAATTTCTTTCCATTTATTGGTCTCTTCCCTTCTACCCATGGTTCTCACTTCCTCCTCCTCTCTTTTCGCTTCTCTCGTTTCCTCAATTTCTTATTCTCCAGAGTCTGTTCTTCCTCCATCTGCCTCTCCTCCCTCCTTAACCCCTCTCTCTCTCCTTTAGTTTCTCCATTCTCTCTCTCAATCCTGCAGTGAAAAGTGACATTACCCACATGAATCTGACCGACGTATATGTATGTATGTGTGCGCGTGTGTATATATATGTACATGTACATGTATATGTGTATGTATATGTGTATATGTATGTATATGTGTGTGTGTGTGTTTACATATATGTATATGTACTGTCAATGAATATGATGCATCTCTTTGTGTACGAACCTCTGTCCTGCATGGCAGTGAACAGTGACATTACCCATATGAATCTGACCTCTATACATTTATAGCTGTTAATGAATATGATGCATTTCTTTGTGTATGAACCTCTGTCCTGCGTGGCAGTGAGAAGTGATACCACCCTCAGTGTCAAGACCTGACTGAATTACTCAGAATAGGCAAACTGTACTAAAAGCTCTGCCAATAAATTTGTTAATCTAAAACTCTCCTTTAATCCTTTCCTCTTCCTCTCTGACTTCTCCTCTTCTTCCTCCTTCATCCCTCTCTCCCGTCATCCCGAATATAGTTCTAGGTGACAGCTAAGCACAGTAAAGGTTTTGTGTGAATATGAAAACGTTTACAAAACCTTAACTTCCACATTGTGTGATATAAACAAAAAGATTTTATTCTCTCTCTCTCTCTCTGTCACCCATCCACACCAGCACCACCACTTAGGGTGTTGACTCAGCTCTCTGGTACAATGGATGGGCCCAGCTAGTTTACGCTAATTACCAAAACAAACTCACACCAACCCGAGAGGGGAACTTCAACCCCTGCCTCTCCCTCCTACACCCCACAACCCCTTATAAGGGAGTGGGAGAGAGGGAGGGGGGCTAGTGTATAGAGGAATATATGAAAGCTTTAGTGGAACGTTTTTAAATCATAACTAAGCGTCGTCGGGGAGAGGGGGATATTTGAATTCCTCCTGATCTCACCTCCCCTCATGTGCCCCCTTTCCTTCTCCCTCTAGTGTATATAAATAGGGAGAAATATATTTTCCTCACCAAAACAAATTCAGGATATCCCAATAGGGGGAACTTGACCCACTCCCACCTTTTCTCCCCTCCCCATCAAAGAGGAGGATGAGGGAGTGAGGGGAGGTAGGGGAGAGGGGGCGTGGAAAACACCATTGTGTCATACACACTATCTCTTTTTATTGTGCCGGCCATTTTGAATCACTGTTTTGGAAATGATATAAATTTATATCTACAAAAGGCATTTGATTTTATGGTTTTACACAGCTTGATAGACTATAAAATTGTTTGTTTCAATGGGTGTATAGACGTAGTGATCTGTGGCATCATTCCCTTGTTATATTACACACGTTGTGATGGGTTCGTTATTCAACTGTTATTTCATACATGCATTCAGTCGTAAAGTTATTCACTTGTTATTTTATACACGCAGTGATTCCTCACGTTATTCAATTGTGGTTTAACAGTTGTTCATAGATATATTCTATTGTTATTTCATAGACGTAACAAGTATTAGCGTAATTCAGTTATCAGTTAACATACAGTATGCAGTGATTCGAAACTCTTCACCTGTAATTTCATGGACGCAGTGATCCACGGCTTAAGATAAACACAGTTTACGCTACTCAACTGTTATTTCATAAACTCAGTGAGCCGAAGCGTTATTCAACTGTTATTCTATAGACACAGTGAGCCGAAACGCTATTCAAGTGCTATTTCATCCCTGACTCACCCGCTGTACAAACCAACTAATTGACAACTATAGTTTATTGAGCGCGGCCTTTGTGGGTCATAATAGCTTGGCTTTTGTTGTTCAGTCCGCCGTAAGAGTGTTGGATCCCGCTCCTCTCACGCTTGTCAAACTCGGGAATTGACTCAGATCTCGCGGAAGGGGATCAGATTGTCTCTAAACGGCCGTCGCTCGTCTCCGGGAAGACCTCTGACCAACCTTCTTTCTCCACCCGATAAAAATTCACCCACCCGCGAAAACGTCGAGATGTGACACATTTACTTCTACGTTTCATATTGGTTCGTCTACTTGTTTTAATTTGTAGCAATTTTTTTTAAACCATTATGAAATCGAATTCATCTTTTATACTATTTATAACGGAATACAGATATTATTTAGCTTTCTATATATATCTAACATTTAATTCTAATTTATATTTTCATAATCTTATATAGTAATGTATCTACATAATTTATATAAGTAAAAATTCAATCTTATTCCTTTCTAATCCACATATTTCTATCACAGTTCATTTTAATTTATCTTCTTCATTAATGCATATAATAATATTTCTAACTACTATAATACTTATACTCTTTACAATAAGATTAAATACTTTACAATTATACTTTTTATTTTCATTTATCATTCTTTGGTTTTATTGCGTGCTTTTTTTTTACTTTCACCGTATGTAAGTTACAGTTTTTTCCCTCCTGTCTGTGTAACTGCTTGTCTGTCTTTCCGTCTGTCTTCTACCAACATTATTCCTGAAGCTTTAAACTATTCATATATTAGACAAAATTTTATAGTATTAGTATGAGCACACTATTATTCAAAGTCAAAGTTAAAACCACTTCCCAGTTTCAAAGTCAAAATAAAAATCACCCCCTCAAACCCAAAGTCAATCCCTCAAATTAAAAAAAAACCTTAATCTCAAAATCACCTCTTCAATGTTACCCCATCAAAGAAAAAATAAAATAAAATAATAACAACCACTCCCTTAAATTCAAAGTCAATCCCTTAAAGTCAAAGTCGATCCCTCAAATTCAAAGTCACTCCCACATAAATCCAAAGACAGACTCAGACGTCACTCCACAGAGACAGAAGTCACACTTAATGTAAATCCTCCAATTTGGATGTGTCACGACCAGGCTGGGTGACGCTCCCCCGACTCACTCACTGGTCACCCCACCACATCCTCACTACACAACCTTCCTGGAGACGAGCGAATAAACTAATAACTAACGTGTGTGTGTGTGTGTGTGTGTGTGTGTGTGTGTGTGTGTGTGTGTGTGTGTGTGATAATATCTACACTACTACTACCACTGTTCTGCTTCTACTACTACTACTACCACTACTAAGACTACTATTACTACTACTACTACAGTAATAATAATAATAATAATAATAATAATAATAATAATAATAATAATAATAATAATAATAATAATAATAATAATAATAATAATAATAATAATAAAAATAATAATAATAATGAGTATTTAAGCCACACCAACTTATATTACTACGGAAATTATATTAAAATCAGCACATCCTGTTTTGTGAAAAGCATCTCTTTAACCCCCACACCCCCCCAAAGAAGAAAATTGTCAACATGTTGGAAATTTATTTTTTATACTCCAAAAGCGGATATACGACCTAATGGAACCACATATAGACAATAACAACAACAACAAAAAATAATAATAATAATAATAATAATAATAATAATAATAATAATAATGAGGAGGAGGAGGAGAACAACAACAGCCACGATTGAAAAAAACACACAACACATTGGGTCAAATTACTCCAAATACAAAATGAATTCCCAGTCGATAAAACATAATATATGCGTCAGGAGTAAATCATCTGGAATAAAGCTTCTCCACATCAACACAGACACACCAAATTATAACAAAAACGCTAATACCTCCAAACAACCATTATGATATAAATTAACCAATAATAACCAGAAATAAACAAGAATACAAACAAAACAATAAGACGTCGTTCATAAAAACCAGAAATAAACAAAATTGAATAAACCAAAATAATAAGACAATCTCTATAAAGACCAGAAATAAACCAAAATAATAAGACAATCTCTATAAAGACCAGAAATAAACCAAAATAATAAGACAATCTCTATAAAGACCAGAAATAAACCAAAATAATAAGACAATCTCTATAAAGTCCAGAAATAAACCAAAATATAAACGAAACAATAAGACTTCCTTAATAAAGACGTGGATGGGAGAGTCAGTGAGCAATACTCGAGCTAAACGAACGAAGCCGCGTGAAGGGTCG